GCTTCAACTACATTAAGCTTTGTAATGTTGTGGCTACGAGCAATCTCCATATAAGTACAACTCGGCATGTTACTACCAGGAAAAGCATTTCGTAGTACGGAGGTCAACTATTGAATTCCTCCCATTAGACCAGAACGAGGTCGCCAAGGCACATTCCCACCAGTAGGATCCATAATTCTGATAAGAGGCAAAACAAAATTTAGAAGAACGAAAGATTATGGCCACAAGAAAGCTTATGATTACCAAATGGAAGAATGAAGTCCTCAGTAAGCTCTGATACTAATATGACATGCCTCAATCCCAATGTTCGGGGGACAGCGGGATGGCCACGTGTTGGTCGACACCCGAGGGTAACTCAAGCCATTTTATGAATGTATATGCTGAGAACATGTGAAATGTGCATATAAATTACTTGCTAACTACACAACGAAATTTTCATATACAAACCTTACCCAAAATAATATAATAATATTCAACCGTCAATAAAAATGATAGTGATAATGCATGACATGCTCAGAGCATACATCTAATTCAGAAAACAAGCGGAAGGTGTAACAGAAAGTGTTATTACTAGTGATGTCAAAGGCAGAGAGGACTGGTAAGGGAATGCCTTGTAGCTTGGATCATATGCCTCGTTCCTATGTCCTGAAGGGGCACAAAACAAACATGAGTAGACCAAGTTAATATATAAGTAGTACTAACATAGTTATTCAACAACATATTAACGCCCAAAGTTTATGGAAACTCATATAGCATAATAAGTAATAGGTTTTTCGAAAACCCTAACATGCCATAAAACCTTTCATAAAATATATATATCATATAATGTGCTTAATAGTGGTATTATATATCAATATCTTACAGCTGAAGCCACCAACCTATGCACGACCGAAGCCAATATAAGTATCTCCTAGTTGAAGCCACCAACCTACGCCCGGTCAAAGCCAATATAAGTATCTCCTGGCCGAAGCCACAAAACTATGCCCAGTCGAAGCCAATATAAGTATCATTGCCCGTAGAGAGAACAGTGACCACTAGATAAGCACAAAAATCATTGAACATAATATTTCCAAACATAATATATATATATATATATATATCTCATTGGAGCTAAGTAGCTCAAACATCATTTCTCAAAACATCTTCGTAGTATATAGTCATCCATCATATATACTACAAAGAACATGAAAATCGATAAAGTATGGTATTTCAAAATATTCTCAATAAAACATGATATCTCATAAAGTGTAAATCCAATTTACTCATAAATGTTTCATAAAACGCAACCATTAAATCATGCTTTTCATGTATGCATTTCTAATAGTAAAATCATGCATTTTATAAGGGTTCCACTCATATATACTCCGTCGTCGAAGAGCCGTGTGAAATAGGAAGGACGGAATCACCGCTAATAAACGCACCTAAGCACATAAAGGGTCCAATTAATAAAACTCTACCATAACAATTGAATTTCAGAAATTGGACGTCATAAATGGAATCAGGACGTCGAAAAACATAAGAGGGAACCTCGAGTACCCCCATACGCCACCGTAAGGTTGTTGCCCCGGTGGACCCGCGCCTTTACATTCCGAGATGGGTTGCCGGAAAGTTGGCCGAAAAAGTTGTCGACAGTGTTGAAGCACAGTACCTCCGGCGGAGGCGCGTGGGCTCCATGTGCCGGCACAAGCGGCCCTTCACACGCTCCCACGAGCAAGTCCACACCCCACTCACGTGCGACTTAGGTTTTGGGCTTGGGCCTGGGCCCTAGGGCAGAGCCCAAGGGCCTCTGTTAAAATGGAGTTTTGGGCTTGAAAGCCCGGCCCGAAGCTTTGGGCTAAAGAACTTGAGTTTTCGGGTTTGGGTCGAGCTGACTCGGATTCATCAAGGAAGAAGGCCAGAGCCTCCCGAGTTTCAGTCAACGCCGATTTATAACCCTACCTTACAATATACCTACCATAATGAAGATAGAGCTGAAAGGAATAGATTTGTACCTTCGTGGTCCCTTACCGTGGTCAGGAAGTGGTCGGAAAATAGGCTTGAAGCCGTCGGACTCGCGGAGAGGGTTAGGTGTGCTGGGTTCTGATGGGTGTGCTCTGCGCTTCACGGAGAAGGGGAGAGAAAGCACGGAGTAAGGGTGATGGTGGGGGGTGTCGACGCCGGCGTAGTGTCGGTGGGTGTTTCCTTGGGGAAAGAGAGAGTTGAGAAAGATCTGCGAGAGGGAGAGAGAGTGTGAGCTGAAAAAGAGTGTACCGGGGGAGGGGGAAAGGAAAAGAGAATAAGAGAAAGAAAAAGGGGAGAGGAGTTACCACGTGGCAGCCAAGAAAAAATGAGAGTTATGAGGAAATCCAAAAAGGGAATTCGGACTGGGTAGGGGATAGGGGACAAAAATCTCATGTGGGTCCCATGGTTCTCAAATTAGTAATCGTAAAAGACGAACACCAAATGTCCGAAAATGTTCGACGTTAAAAAGATACAATAAAAGTAGGACTAGGTTTCATATATAAATTATAGATACCTAATGATTATTATTATTAATTTTTTTTTGGACAAGAGCTTAACTTCATTAACTTAAAACAAATTACAAAGCCAACTAAAGGCCTAAAACAAACAGTGGGAGGCCCAATTCCACAACAACATAGGCCTGAAACTGAAAACACATGACAATAACAAATAAAATCTAAAAATCATCCCAGAAACCTAGCTTGCCGCCACCGAACTCTTGCCAGCAATCACCGGAATGACAATCATGTAGGAACCAGAAAGAAGGAGGATCCGCGAAAAGTCAAGCACAACTGGAAAAAAAAAACCCAACAAAAAAGAGAAAATCCACAACAAAAATCAGATCTCAAAGTTGTGCAATCTACCAAGCCATCTAGATTTGTACCACCAACCACCACGCCTGCAGGAAACGAACTAAGTTGACATAACACGGGGGTGGAGAGGGCCGATAGGATGTGTAAAACACCCTTACTACGACGGAGACTGCAGAACACTACGCCCAAAATTTCTGGCATGCCAGTAAAGCAGGAGGCAGTGGGGGTAGAGATCTACATTTGAAATCGAGTCCACAACTTGAAGATTTAATTTTTGGTAAGGGTTAAGGAGAGGTGAAATGGGGGTTGAAGATGAAGGTATACGCAAGGGAAAAAGGGGGAGAAGGAAGTGAGCACTACTACAAAAGTACCTAGTAATGTCATTTTAAAAAATGACAAGAAAAGCCTATTTTTGTCAAATGTTAGCAAAAAAATCGGACAGAAATTCATGTGGTGGCAGATAAAAGAACCAACAACATCGCTTGCGTCACGAAAAGGCTTTTGTTGTTGGACATGACTCTTAATTTGCCAAGAAAATAGTGTCGGACACAAATGACATTAATACTCCTGTCGGTTATAGGTGACATTAGTTGTTGAGAAATCCCGTCGGATAAAAAGACAATGCTGTTACATATAACCGACATAATAAAAAAATATAAAAATATAAAGTATATAAACCAAATTTATGTTTTTACTAAAAATAAAAAATAAACAAAAATGCTCCTTTATCTGACACTCATACTCATTTAAAAAAAAATTAAAAATTAAAAATCATATCTGACATAAATGCTTCCATTGGTAATGTTCTTCAGTAATACATTTCATTATACAAAGTGTTTATACAACAAAATAAAGAAAACATAATGATGACTCTTCATTTTTCCTATCTTCTTTTCTTCCCCTTCTTTTGTCAGTGCTACCTTTCTCCTTTCCCCCTCCCCCCCTTCTTTTTTCCTCTTCTTCTTTCAGTGCTCTTCACTGCAAAACAACAGTCCATCACATGAGAAAACATGAATTAACAAAATTTCAACAGCAATTGATGCCAAAAATGACACACCCCGACCAAGATCAGTGCATGTTGGTCGTCACGTGGAAGTGACATAACCATGTGCACAGTGCGGAAGCTAATAAAATAATAATAAAAGTACGAATAAATAAAAACCAGCTTTACACAAAGTAAGAACATACATGTGCAAGCGTAAGTTTGAAAAACAAAGTTCAGAGCTCGAAAACCTAATGCAGTCCGGGAGAAACAACACTACGTAAACACACCCGAAGGTGGTCCTACACTGGTGATAATCTGTCAGATATGCCGGGGAAATCCTCTGGGGAGCCACCAAAAGTGCTAGCCAACTAGAACTTGGAGGGGCGCAAAACAAAAGCGTGAGTGGGCAAAAACAAAGCTTTTCAAAAACCATTTAAAAAAAACAAGATTCTAACCCCTCGCCGTAAAACCTGTATACTTCCCAGAAAAGTAGAATATACATATATATAAGTCATGCTCGGAAATATATGCCATGCCAAATGCCTCGAATAAATGCAAGTGCTCAGGAATGTCAAATCAATGCCATGTAAGCTGTCAGCCGGAGTCACCTAACGTGACATGTACGGCTGAATCTAGAGCTCAATCTCCATCTCACTAACTATACCTACACAAAAGTTGGAACCACCTAAAGTGATCTGTTCGACAGGACTGGGTGTCATACATATATATATATATATATATATATATATATATATATATACACACACGCTCAAGTGCTACGATCACGTGAAGGCTGGGCGACTAATCGCGGGTCACCTACGAATCGGAACCACCTAAAGTGGTCTGTACGACAGGACTGTGCACCTAACTTGGATCCAAGATGAGCGTGTGGTGCGGGAGGTGAACATCACGTGAAGGACTATGCCCAACTCTGGGCGGGAGCACTAACACCGGGGTGCAGGTTATGAGCTCTCTATGCATCTCAAATCACTACTGAACATAAACATAAATCATAACTCACCTGACACTTACATGTGCGTCCACAGCACCAAACATATATAAACATATACGATTAATAATGCGTAAATAAATGGCAAACAATAAGCATGGCATATAAACGTATAATGTTTCAAATCAATTTCTGGGAAAAACATAAGTATATAGGTATATACGGAAAACCAAAAGCCCACTCACTAGTATGTAGAAGGGTCGTAACCCCCTTGCCTCGAGTGACCACGCTCGTCCTCCGGATAGGTCTCACCTATATGCGAAACAACTATAAAAACGTTAATTTTAAAGCACATAACCAACCCTAAGAAATAACTTCTCATACAATGCTCAAATGGGGTGCATGAATACACCAACGTGATCTACTCAACCTCAGGAACATCCCCATATTTTTAGAAAAAATTTCCACCGTCGCACGCGCCCCCACGCGCAGGCACGTGCCTGGCACACTGATGGCGTCAGTTAACGCCGTCAGGAATATTCCGTTAACTTTAACGGATTCCGTTAACGCCGTTAGGAATATTCCGTCCAAACTGATGGAATATTCCGTCTTCTTCTCCAGCAAGGCTCCGGCGCCGTCGCCGGCGCCGGAAAATCGCGAAAATTTCAAAACTTCATATCTTCTTCGTTTTTCAACCAAATTTCACAAAATTGGTACCAATATGAAGCTTACAACGAGAGGAACAAATCCATACCACTTTTAAGCACTAAAACCCACGGGATCACAACGGGAAAACACCACCAACTCTGGCCAAGCTTATAACTCACGATCCTGACGTCCAAAACCTTTAAACGAACCACCCCGAGCCTCATAAGGACCTCACCAAGCTTCCTACAAGCTTGAAATTCCCAAAAACACAAGAATTAAAGTGTGCATGAACAGTGACAAAATCGGGGTATCCCGAGTTCGACGTGAAAACGAAGGTATCCTTACCTGAAATGGGTATGGTTGAACTTCTATGGACCTCACGAGCATGAATATGTACTTTGTTTCCTCGATCTGTGAAGATTTGGCGTGTTTTTTATTGTGTCCGTACGTATTGGATAGAAATGGGAGAGAGAGGACTCGGGACAGGGGTGCAGGGCAGGGAAAGGGTGAGGGAGGTGTGGGGGAGTGTGTGTGGCCCAGAACCTGCCAACAAAAAATCCCAAAAACAACCACACAACGAAACAACCATGCTAGGGGCAAAATCGTCATTTCACCCCACGGTTCGAAAATCTAGAACGGGCTGTCACAAAAAACATCACTAAATATTAACAAAATAGATAAAATAAATGTGGTTTAAGTAGAATAATGTATGAGAAATTTGATAATTAGCAAAATAGTCATAAAAATAGATTGAATTGAACAAAAACTACAAAACCATAATAAAATTAGGGAATTACAAATTTTTAGTTAACTTGAAAAAATTGAAACAAAATTCCTCACTAAGTACCTCGGATAAGCAAAACCCCTTACACACAATAGAAAACAGGAGCAGGAAAGCGAGACATTTCTGGTGTTTGGCATAAATCATGTGTTGTCGTACTAGAGAGAGAAGACAGGGAGATGAGATCGACGACTGTCATGGGGAGAGTGATGGAGGAACTGGATGAAGTGGATAAAAAGAGCATGGTAAGAAGATGAAGTGAAAAGAAGAAATGGGAGAAAAGAAGAAAGAGATGCCGAAAAGAAGAAGGGGGAAATGAAAGAGAAATGAAGGAGAATAGGAGAAAAGAAGAAGGGGAAAAGGATAGGAGAAGGGGAGAAGAAAAGGAGAAGGAAAGAAAGAGGAAAGGAGAAGGAATGCAGCGGGAAGGAGAAGAAACTGGAGAAGGGAGAAGGCAGCGGCGCAAGGGAGAGGGAGAGGGGTTTTATTATGTAGAATTGGTAGTACTGTCGGTTAGAATTGATAGAACCGACATCACACTTTTCAATGTAAAGAATGGTGGGAAATATCCCGACCAAAATTTGCTCTCAAATTTGCCAAGATTTAAAAAATAAAATAATAATTGAGTCGGATATAACCGCCAGCGTTAGTATAAAAAATTTGAAAATATTTGTGTCAAATATAGCCGCCAGAGTTTAGTATTAAAATTTTGAAAATAATATAATATAATCTAACACATTACTTACTCATGTCGGATATATCTGCAAGATTTGGTTAAAAATATTTTAAAAATAAATCTGGTGAAGTTAAGGGCTCGCTTCATTATTCTTGTCAGAAAGTAGTGCACTAATGTCGACAGTAGTACTTTTTATCTGACACTTTTTAAAGATGTTGTCGAAAATATTTTATCCGACGGTAATAATATAAAACCGCCACCACTCTCCAACACATTAAGCCAATTTTGTAGTAGTGGAGGGAAAAAGGCTGCAGAAATGGAAATAGAAAGAGAAGCAAGGGGAACAAGGAGAAGGAGAAGAGAGGGGAGGCAACAAAACAGGGAAGCCATAGAAAAAAAATCAGTAAGAAACACCGGGAAAATAGCGAGGACTGCCGAGACTGTGACCTCAAAAACCGACAACAAAAAATTATGGAGGGCAGGACACAGACAAAAGACAAGGAGAAGAAAAAAAAAAGACAAGGAGAAGAAGAAAACAGAGGAGATAACAACCAAAGGAAGGAGTCGGCAGCGAAAATAAAGAAAAAAGGGGCTTCCGCGTGAGAGAAAAAGAGGAGGAGAGGCTAATTGGTGAACACAAAAGAGTACAACAATCACAATCTCACGTAAACAAACATGTCATTAGATTTTGCATGTAATTGGTAACTCAATCACATCCTCCTAAAAAAGTCTCCAAATTCAATAATGCATGGTACGACTCTTCTCTCGTCTTCTGCTGTCAAGACTGTCAACCACTCACAAACATCTCTCTCAATCCAACTCTCCAAATCAATGTCATAATACCATTTATTTTTAGGTAGTTGATCAATTTGAAATACAAGACTTTTTAAGTACATTTTGCCAACAAAATCAATACAAGACTATCTATCTGTTATAAATTATAGTGCTGCCGTACGTGAATGTGGTTGCAGTTTGGAGATATATACATGAGCAATGACTTAATTTCTTCAAATGGAGAGATTTATAGGGATTTTCTACAGTACTCCGGATTATCTCATACTTTAGGGGGGCGTTTGTTGCGCCGGACTATCTCGGACTGGATTAGCTTCAAGGACTAAGCTGGACTTCCTTAAACTAGACTAAACTGGACTAACTTAGTGAAACGTTTGGTGCAGTATTGGACTAAGAAGCTGGATAATAACAAATTCTAATATTATATTATTTAATATATAAATTATTAATATTTTATTATAATCTTATATTTTTCTTCATCTTTTCCTACCATTTCCGTCCCACTCTTTTCCTCTTCTCTCATTGTCCCACCCTCTCCCTCTTTTTTTCCTCTTAAACCTCTCAAATCATGTCTCTTTCTTATTCCTGGTCAAACTCCTTATTGATTCCAGTGTCTATTTCTCTGTCCTCCCTCCCTCTCTAGCTATGTGTTGTTCGAATGGAACCTCACGGCTCCAATTTTCCCGACGAGTTGCAGGTTTCCCGATGTGTTTTCTGGCCAACCCTCGTTAAATTGGATGAAGTTAGCATCGCCAAAAAATTCATCACCATCCCTAGACCGAGATCTTAGCTTTGAATGCTCGAATCTGTCATGGATTTGAAGAAGCCCAAACAGGCCGAGACTTCCAAGCCATTTTCCGGCTACATTCGACCACATTTTGGCCTCTATTCAGGTAAAATCGTAATCTTGTCACTCCCAGCTTCAATTTGGTATATTTTATATGAAAGTTGTTGTGAAATGGATCTGAAAGGGAGTCGGAAAGTTAATGATTGATCTAGGTGACCGGAGATGACGAGGAGTCTGTCGGGAGTGGTCGTTGAGCATGACGAGGACGAGAAAGAGAGGATAGTCTTAGTTAGTCCCATGGTTATTGGGGGGTCTCGCTAAGACCTCTTAGTTAAGGGTTTTGTCCATGCTAGTCCCCTTTAGTCTCATTAAAGTTAGTCTCAGCATGGAACAAACACAATATTGGACTAATAGCTAATCCAATCCAGTCCAGTCCAACTTAGTGAGGGCAAACAAACGCCCCCTAGGTGTTCTAGTTGTTAATTTTTTGTTTAAAAATATAAAAAATTTATAATTTAACGGTTAAAACTTCAGACTATCTTCCATATGCTCAGAACGCCCCTATCATTTTTGAATCACATAAACCATGGTTCATGCATGCCAAAAATAGAAAGAAGAAGGACAAAAGGAAATATATTATTAAGTTCCTAAATAATGAAAGGTACCTGGAACAACTGGAAGGATTGCAAGTTTGTGGAGACAAATTATTGGTGTTGATATGGATATATATGTTTTACTTTTGGTTAACAAGTATGAGAGGAAAACAGATATATAAAATATCAATATGGTAGTAATAGTGCCAGACCAGGCTGTCACTAGGCCAATAATGAACCTCTTTTGCATAATTCAACCATTATATTTCGGAATACCGAATTCACCTGTACCAGTGATTGTTATCAGAAAATTTTGTAGTGTAATCGTCTCATTACCACATGATGTTGTTAGTCTAAGTATTATATTGCTCTCATATCATAAAGGAAGTTGAGATTTCACCATAAAATCAACTGACAATCTTTGAAGAGTAACCCAATTAGTTATAAGCACGTGTAAGATCTCTCTTTTATGTCATGGAATTCATCTCCACAAACTCTTCATCGACCCTTTTGCATACAATATCGTTTGCAATAAAAATATTTTTTTTATTAATTTTAACATAATAACAATAGCAAATAGAAGGATGTCAAGAAATGAAAGTTACAAAATTAGTGGTACCCCACATGCGACAACTTGTATGTCTTTCATCTTGGTACGTATCTTACTCAGACGCAATTAAGATATTTTTATAAGTATTTCAGCACCTACTCTCTTCGATGTATTGCTAACAATCTCATAATGTCCGTACATATAAAGAACATTACTCCATCTAGGAAATGGAAATGCTTCGAGTCTAGAACACGTCACATGCATCATTGTATTTTTAGCACAAAATGTTACGAGTAACAGTGTATTTGTGTCTAATATTAATATCAACTATTGCAATTGTCAATTACTGTTTTTACAAAACGTTACAGTAACAGTGTATTTGTGTCTAATATTAATATCAACTATTGCACTTGTCAATTACTGTTTTTCCATGATGGTGATATTTGTGCGGGTGAAAGTAGAGCCACTCTCTCTCGCTCTTCCTTCAAGCACGGTAGTTGGTATTTATCAAACGAAGAAACATGGTAGTTGGTGGTACTGCTTTACTCTTAAATTTGACTATAATTAATGAAATCAAGCGGTAGATTAAGTAGTTAATGAAGATCCCACCCAACAGATGAGATTGACTAATGCAGGTCTACAGGTGGATATGCAATGTGCACACAGGATTGCCCATCACCTTTAATTTAGCAGGGCATTGTCCTGACCAGAAGAAGATTTTCTACCCTCCTAATTTCTCTACCCTTTCATACTCTTCGATTTGAACGGTCACGGTTAAACTACGTCAACATCTTATATTACTTTTTTTTTATAAAAATAATAAGATAAAAAATAATTTGTGAACAGAGAAGATGGGAGGAGGTGGAAATAAGAGAATAGAAAATCCTCCTCTACCCTAAACGTACAGCAGCATCAGCATCTAGAGTGTTGGAGAAAGCAAGCAGCTTTTGCAGCAATAAGCTGAGTAACAAGGAAACGACTTGAAGACAGAGACTAGTCTCCAGATGAATAAATTAATCGCATCTCACATTTATTCAATTCCTAATTTTAGCTGTCCGATTTCACTATGGGGTGCACGTGATCTTACGGTCCACACCACAATGACATGACATAGATTCTTAGGCAAAACAATTCGTGAGACTTGTCACTCGTTACATTACAGTACATTACATATTGTTACAGATTCACTCGTATCATAATTTGCTTGAATATTTGTAGTTAATATTATATTTTAGGTACTTAATACGTCCATCTGGTTGTCCACGCAAGTTAATAATACCGAAAGTGTAATACTATTATGTTGTTCGAGCTTTTGAGGCCACGTTGGCAAGGAATCGAAATCCTTGTGAGTCGATAATGCCAAGCGACTAATTCCGTGATTGTTGCTGGTGGTTATGTCTTGTTCGACCTTCGACGCGAATCTCTTCAGCTACGCACCACGAACCTCGAGTGAAATGGCCCTTGTACACCCAAATCACGGCTTACAATGTGCGATAGGGTCACGATTGTTTCATCTTTGACATTCTAATCGTCGTCAATAAAGCAATTGATAATAACATGAATCATAGTTATTACCTTGACATCAAAGAAGTGTTTGACTCAATGTATTATTTCTGTTCTAGTTGATTTTGATTTGACATTAGAAGTATATTGAATTTTCTGCAATAACCGAGTACTTTTGTCTGTAAATGCTGCATATTTGATTTGATCCATAAATCTATTTTCTTCCTTATGAGTTTTAGTCTCAATAAGAATGCTAGTTTTTACTGTTCATATGTATTGATATGAATATACGGTATATACCGCACCAATTCGTTATGTATAGATGATGAGATTCCATTGATACAGAGCCAATTCCAATGGACTTATTGGAGGGTCCTATTAGCGTGCATCCAGTAGAAATTGAACCTACGAATTCACCAATTGTGAGTTGGGCGCTTTAACCATTCAGCCATGGATGCTTAGCGGGAATCCTTGTAAACGATGAATAACCAAACTCGAATTGAAATGAAATCTTTAGGATAAATCTATGCAATTTAGGAGGACATCAATTCAAATCTTGGATTTTCGAATTGAGGCCTTAAAAAATGATTAAATGAAGTCCACGAGGCTGCAGATACTATGGATCTTGGCGTTTCACACTAAGCAAGCAAGTTACCCTTCCCTATGGTAGAGCAAGTAAACTACCTTGCAGAATAATGAAAGTGAAGCCTGGAGTCAAACCGTATTTGTTGTTGCCTGTATAGCAAACCGCACACATACGTATAGATAATTAGAGATCTCCGAACAATGTCTACTCTTATCATAACACGTGAATCGATAAAAATAGTAACGGAGGAGCACACCCAATGTTATAAGTTGTGTTTCGTTTAATTATTAACAATATGTTTAACATTAACACGGGAACTATCAGTCACATTAATTAATGAGAGCAATAAACAAACCCTTGAAATTTCTTGTCTTTACGTTGTTCTACTACGTGTGTGTGGTGGGAAAAGTAGCCAGGTAGATGGCGGTAGTCACCACTCACCCACCAAAAACAAAACAAGCAAAATAGACTGTATGACATAAATATTAATTAATTATGAAAAATGTTAATAGCATTTCAAAATCTCATTCTACATTTTTTGAGTGTATTTTTCTTTTTAAATATAGAAAGTTTGGAGTGCAGAATGAGATTTTTGAAATGACAATAATAATATGCTTAATTATATTCACTTTTTTTTTTCTTTTCAAAAGATCGATTTATTAAATTAGAAAGTCAATAGAATTCGAATCTACGTTGTAATGCAATGAGAACATTCTTTGTTACTACGGTAATAGATGAACATTTGCAATTAATTATATTCCCCGGAGAGTATCGAGAGTGTTGAGAGTGGATACACAACTGACAAACCCGTGAACCAAAAACGCGTCAAAATTTCAACAATTTTGACATGCGGTGCAGCTCTCAGGTCTCAACCATCTCTCATGAAATTTCTAAGTTTATCGGATTGAAGAATTGGATTCTAGTTGGGAAAAATAGTAAATGATTGAACATAGTGGGACCCCCCCGGCATGGGTTGTGTCATATTATATGTTTATATTGTAGTGCTATAACTGTTCGTTTCACGGGCGTGTTGATCCACCATCCGAGCCAGTGGTGGAACCAAAAATCTACGTCAAGAGGGACCTTTAAGATAATGAAAGAAATGTAAAAGTGAAATTTCAGGATGAGCGCTGGACAACCCTCGCATCTATGTGGCTCCGCAATCCGAGCTTTTTGTTTTTTAGACCAAGTCAATCAAAGATCATTCTTACAAAAAATTTACTAATTATCACGATTGGTCGTTAGATTGTTATTGAGAATGTTTCTTTAGACTAATGTTGGTTGGTTATGTATACATAGATGACTTTTTTTTTTATTGAAGTGATTTCTTGTAAAATGATGTTTCAGTGATGGTCTTATCAAATTAGTAGTTGTTCTTACGATGAATAGGGTTTGCCAAGTGGGTTTACGCCCAAACTCAATTACTTTGTATAATTAATCACACTTTAATATCTTATTTAATTGCAATTTAACGTGACTGGGCGATACATAACAGTATCTGAAGTGTGAAAACAAAAGAAACTCAGCCCGAGGAAAAATGGAGAATATAGGCTAGTGTACAAAGGCAATGAGGATAGGCTTAGAAAAAGAATAAAAAAGCCTGCAAGAATGCATGTGATGAAAGCCAATTCACCCAGCTTTCCACTCACTCACTCACATTTTTGTCCCAACTCAAACTCAAAGCATTCAAGCTACCGGACAACCACCCACCGCCCCCTTTTTTCTACGCTCCTGTCCCATGAGCCATGATTATTATTTTCACTCTTTCACCATTACAGCTATCCAAACCCTACCCTCTCTCTCTCTCTCTCTCTCTCTCTCTCTCCATTTCTGTATTAAAAGCGGGCGTCACTAAAGCTGCTTCTTCTTCTTCTTCCATTTTATGGTCTCTCACTCCCTTCTAAACACAGGGAGTGAAGAATATACAGTGACTGAGATTTCAGCTGCTAAGCTGAACAGAATGGCCATTATGTCTACCTCTTTTGTGCTTCATCTCCTTCTGGCTCTCTGCCGATTCTCCACTGCAGCAGCGGCGGCGGACAATACCGATGTCTCCCACCCCAAAACCACGCCTTCAACTTACATCGTCCACATGGCCAAATCCCAAATGCCCGCGAGTTTTGAGCATCACACCCACTGGTACGATTCGTCGCTCAAATCGGTCTCCGACTCGGCCGAAATGCTCTACACTTACACCTCTGCCATCCACGGCTTCTCCACCAGGCTGACGCCGGAGCAAGCAGCGTCGCTCAGTTCACAACCCGGAGTACTCTCCGTGCTTCCTGAACTCAAGTACGAGCTCCACACGACTCGGACCCCCGAGTTCCTCGGACTCGGCCAGACCACCGAGACAATGCCCCAGTCAGACTCGGCCGGTGACGTCATCATCGGAGTACTGGACACCGGCGTCTGGCCCGAGAGCAAGAGCTTCGATGACACCGGATTCGGACCCGTGCCCTCCTCCTGGAATGGCACGTGCGAATCTGGAACCAACTTCAACTCCTCCAATTGTAACCGCAAACTAATCGGCGCCAGGTACTTCGCCAAAGGCTACGAGGCCACGCTGGGCCCCATCGAGGAGTCCAAAGAATCCAAATCCCCGCGCGACGACGACGGCCACGGCACTCACACCGCGACAACCGCCGCTGGCTCCTTTGTCCCCGGCGCGAGTCTATTAGGGTACGCGCCAGGAACCGCCCGTGGGATGGCCCCGCACGCCAGAATCGCCGCCTATAAGGTGTGCTGGGTCGGCGGCTGTTTCAGCTCCGACATTCTTGCCGCCATGGACAAAGCAATCGACGACAACGTCAATGTCCTCTCGATGTCGCTCGGTGGCGGGAATTCGGACTATTTCCGTGACAGCGTGGCGATGGGAGCTTTCTCAGCGATGGAGAAGGGCATCTTAATCTCGTGCTCTGCTGGAAACGCGGGCCCCAGTGCTTATAGCTTGTCGAACTCGGCTCCATGGATCACAACCGTGGGAGCAGGCACACTGGATCGAGATTTCCCCGCTTTCGTCAGCCTCGGTAACGGCAAAAACTTCTCCGGTGTTTCGCTTTACCGCGGCAACTCCAACTCAATGCCAAGCGCCTTGACGCCGTTTATTTATGCCGGTAACGCGAGCAACGCCACTTCCGGGAATCTATGCATGATGGGGACTTTGAGTCCCGAACAAGTGAAGGGAAAGATAGTGATGTGCGACCGCGGAGTCAATGCTAGAGTCCAAAAAGGGGCCGTGGTCAAAGCTGCGGGAGGATTGGGCATGATTTTGGCTAACACCGCCGCGAACGGCGAAGAACTGGTGGCCGACGCTCATTTGTTACCGGCCACGTCTGTGGGTCAGAGAAACAGCGACGTCATCAAGAGCTATTTATTCTCGGATCCGAACCCGACCGCCACGATTTTATTCGAGGGGACAAAAGTCGGAGTCCAGCCATCTCCGGTGGTCGCGGCGTTTAGTTCTCGGGGCCCAAATTCGATCACAGCGGATATACTGAAACCCGATATAGTTGCTCCAGGTGTCAACATCCTAGCGGGGTGGTCAGGTGCGGCGGGACCCACGGGTCTTGCGATCGATGCGAGACGCGTGGCGTTCAATATTATCTCCGGGACGTCGATGTCTTGCCCGCACGTGAGTGGGCTGGCGGCGCTGCTGAAGGGGGCGCATCCGGAGTGGAGCCCGGCGGCGATTCGATCGGCGCTCATGACCACGGCGTATACGGCGTACAAGAACGGGCAGAAGTTGCAGGATGTGGCTACCGGGAAGCCATCCACGCCGTTCGATCACGGTGCAGGACACGTGGATCCTATATCGGCCCTCAACCCGGGACTTGTCTATGATCTAACGGTGGACGATTATCTGAACTTTCTGTGTGCGTTGAATTACTCGGCGTCTGAGATCAGCAGCCTGGCGAAAAGATCGTACACTTGCGACGAGAAAAGGAGGTACAGCGTGAGGGACCTTAACTACCCGTCGTTCGCGGTGAACTTCGAGGACAGAACGACGTCGACGAATGTAGCGAAGTACACGAGGACGGTAACGAATGTGGGGCCGGCGGGAACGTACAAGGCAACAGTGACGTCGGACAACCCGTCCGTGAAGATAACGGTGGAGCCCGACACGCTGAGTTTTGGTCAGGTGAACGAGAAGAAAGCCTATACGGTGACGTTTAGTGCTTCCGGTTCGGCGCCGTTGAATGCGAACAGTTTCGGGAGGCTGGAGTGGTCGGACGGGAAGCATGTTGTGGGAAGCCCAATAGCAATGAGCTGGAATTAGGGGGGAAAAGGTTCACTCACTCAAAGAGTGGTGTGGATGTGATTAATTGCCAAAATTAATCTTCTAAGAATGAATGATTAAGGTGGTAATTAATGTTAATTTTCAGCTTAGGATTAAAGGAGCTGAGAATTGAGACAGTGTGCGTGTGCGTGTGCGTGTGCGTGTGTGTTTACAGACTTGTATGAGAGTATGCAAGTTAATGCATGGGATGGTTGGGTGGTGGGATTTGTATTTGATAGAATATTTCATGTATTTGCATAAGCCCGTCAATGTCGTCAATCATCATATGTTGGAATAATTATTGGATAAGTGAGTGACAGCAGCAGCCATTGTTTTGGAATCTTTGGATCCTATTTTCTTTGAAGTTTGTAGCTAAAATGGTTAAGAGAACGTCACTTAGTATTACGGTTTAATAATATTTCTTTTTACTTGTAAGTGAAAAGCGTCTTAACTTCAATTCTTGTCAAAGGCGAATTCACTTGTCTGGCTTCCTGTTTTTCATAACTTGAGCTATAGGATTTTGAGGTAAAGTAGTATCTTAAGTTTTACCTCATCCATTTACCTCAAAGTTGTGTAACTTGTGTAAGTAGAAATATGTAGCATCACTAAATGGCCTTATAAAAGATGTCTTGAGTCCCAAGTTGTCTCATGCTTTTCAGAGATTACATTTGCCTTGTTGAAATGAATACCTTGTCATTCCAAGATGCTCAAATTGAATGTCCAACCCAAACATTAGATTGTAGAAAACGAACAAAAAAGTGTCAAATTAAGAGCTCCTATGGCCTGCGTAGATCCACAAAATGAAAGCCCATTCCTCTTTCCCTTCCACAGATACTTGAAAAATTTTAGCCATGGGGGCCACGCCCAACATGCTATTTTTAGGAAGTGCAATTTACTTAGCATAGATACATCGTTACGTAACATTCTATGCAAATAAAATAAAGACATTTAATGAAAATTTACACATGTAATAACTTTATTGATACGGAACGCTACTGTGGCAATACATTCGTACCTTATAAGTCATTCACATTTTCAAGTGTTACCAGGACATACTACTATTGACCTATCTTTCTTTGTGCACTTATTTCTATTTTCCTTCTTCATTCTTCACCGCATTCTGTAATTATGTACCATAATCGAAACAGTTATGCCATCCGTTATGAATCATTTGTGTAAAATATAACAACTCAAAATCGTTGAGCCGTTTAATTAATATTGTGATAAATCAGCACTTCCCATAAAAACTTCCATGTTTTCAACTTGGCTCCTTGAAGGCCCCTAGCCCTGATGGTTTTCTAGGGCTGTTTTACCACAAATTTTGGGATACTGTTAATGAAGTGATAGTAGGGACAACCAAGGAATTTATGGATGGTTTGTTATATCTACACCAACTCAACAAAACCCATATTGCCCTCATTTCAAAAGTCCCTAACCCAGAAAATACAAGCCAATTCAAACATATTAGCCTTTGCAACAACTCTTACAAGATTTTATCGAAAGTTCTTTCCAACCGCCTCAAAACCATCCTACCAAATATTATATCCTACCACCAAAATGCTTTTGTGCCTAACCGTCAAATCCATGACAATCTTTTTGTAGCCCATGAAGCTTACCACTACTTGAAACTCAAGAAAAAAGGAAAGTGGTGTGAGTTGGCTTTGAAATTAGACATAAACAAAGCTTATGATAGGGTGGAGTGGGACTTTTTGGAGGAGACTATGTTGAGAATGAGGTTTGATATTTCTTGGGTGGCGTTGGTGATGAGTTGTGTTGGAACTACTTCTTTGTCGATGTTGGTCACTGGGAAGTCGGGGAAGTTTTTCAACCCATCAAGGGGATTGAGGCAAGGGGATCCTTTATCTCCCTACCTCTTCATCTTGGTGAGTGACCGTGCTTTCACAAAACATATGTTATGCTACTAATGCGAATTTTGTGCAGGGGATGACTATTAGCAAAGGTGGCCCCATGCTATTACATATCTTTTTCACCGACGACTCACTTTTCTTCCTTCATGCCACTGTGGAGAAATGTCACAATATTATAAAGATTTTTGATGTTTATTGCGTTGCTTCGGGGCAACAAATCAATTATGATAAATCTTATGTCTACTTTAGTGACAATACTCCGATGGATACCAAGATAGAAATGTGTGCAATTATAAGAATTCCAGCTACGGATGACTCGGGGGTGTACTTGGGATTGCCGTCTATTTGGGGAAGGTCTAAAAAAGCAGTGTTGGGTTACATCAGAGAAAGGATTTCGAAGAGGATTAAGGGTCGGAAGGCCTCTCACTTGTCAATGGAGGGGAGAGAAGTTTTTATCAAAGTCATGGCTGTCGCGGTCCCGGCTTATCCGATGGCTTGCTTTAAATTTCCCACCACTTTATGCAAAGCTATTAATGGAGATATGAGCAATTTTTGGTGGGGAGATTGTGAGGACAAGTAGAAGATTCATTGGAGCAGCTGGGGAAGTTTATGCAACCCCAAGTCTGAATTAGGAATATGATGTAGAGATATTGAAAGTTTCAATTATGCTCTTCTTGGGAACCAGTGTTGGAGAATCATTTGCAACCCCGACGCTCTATGGGTCAGAATTCTTAAGGCACGTTACTTTCCAAATTGTGACTTCATTCAAGCAACTTGAGGTTCACTGCCTTCATGGGCTTGGGTTAGCCTTTTGGAGGGTAGAAAAATGCTGGAAAATGGTGCTTTTTGGCAGATTGGTGATGGTGAAACTGTGAAGATATCGAATGACAACTGGATCCCCAATATGGAAAGACGGAAGCCCACTCCTAAAGCAATTCTACCGGGATGTGCTTCTTCTCTTGTGTGTGACTTGATTGGGAGAGAAGACTCAATGTGGAATTTGAGTATATATGAGCATCTGTTGAAGGAAAAAGATATGAGTCTAATTCGTCCTATCCTGCTTTACCTGTTGGATAGCCTGAATCATCTTATCTAGCCTTGGATGAAGGATGGTGCGTACACACTAAAAAGTGGTTACTTTTGGACTTTCAAATTTAAATATCAAAATAATGTTGTCCACCAACACTTTTCTCATCAAGTCGACAAGAAAATATGGAAGTTTGTTTGGAGTGTGAAGTTACTTCCCAAGATTTGGAACTTTTTGTGGCGAGCTATGTTTTCTTTTCTCCCAACCAAGTTGATCCTATCTCGAAGACATCTTACAAACAACTCATGTTGCCCTAGTTGCCTGGTAGATGATGAGCCGATTGAACACGTTGCTGCTTTGTCCATGGACTCGGTTGGTGTGGTTTGGCTCTCATTTGAGCTACTTACCGAGCCCACATTGTATAACCAGGTTTGATAAATGGTTTTTAGGGATGAACGAATCGTCTCTGGAACCTGACTATAATCAGCTCATTATTGTTCTTGGGATTACTTGCTGGGAAATTTGGAAAGAAAGGTGTAGGGTGTCTTTCAATGATTATATTCCCAATCCTGTCCAAGTGAACCACAAATGCCGTTTGTCCACTGCTGAAATTATGAGTCACCGATCTAGAATCAGTCACGCACGAGGGAATAATGGGAGTGGAGTGCAGGTTATTGCATGGTGCCCTCCTACGTATCCCATGATCAAAGTTAATGTAAATGGCGCTTGGAAGGGCAATCTATTAGCAGTTGGCATTGGAGTTGTTATGAGAGACTCAGTGGACAGTCTAACTGGGGGGAGTTGCATCCATTTGATTCGGTCGTCACCTGAGGAAATGGAAGCTGAAACTATACTTGAAGGTTTGGAACTTGTGGCTTTTAGTGATCATCGTAATGTGGTTTTGGAAAATGATTGCAAAACTGTTATGGACATAATTCAGAAAAGAAACTTGAAAGGTATGTGGAAAATCATTCCAATTGTGGAAGAAATAAGGAGACATGCTTGCTTGTTCTCTTCTCTTCATTGGAAATGGATTCTTTGGTTAGCAAACAAATCAGCTCAAGCAGCTGCATCGTTGGCGATATAGAGGGTGTGCTCTTCGAAATGGGACTATGTGCCCGCTCCCTCTTTTGTCGGTGTTCTGTCTAGGGATGGCCTCCCTTGTCATCCTTTTGTATAATCCCCATGTGGGGTGGGAATAGCCCCTCCATTTTGGGTGTAGGTAGATTTTTTGGTAGCCTTTTTGGCTAGATAGCTAGTTCTTACTTATTGGAACATGTCTATTTCTGCTCTATGTAAGAGTTGTGCTTATCTTCTCATTTTTTAAAGAGTCTATCTGTATCCTCTTCTCCATGTTGCTTTTTAATGGAATTCCAATTGACCAAAAAAAATCATATCATATATCTATAAACTATAAGAACTGGAATGAGGATCCTCTTCGGATCGGAGATCCTCAAATCGTGTATGTTCATCGTATATCGTGCGGTCGGTTTTTGTCAGATACTGTTTATGTTTAATTTTAAATGAAAATATTTAAAATAATTTTTAACCGTACTATATACGATAAACAGTCACGATTTAAAAATTTCCAGAATCCTCACAAAGACAATTAAGAAAGAATTCTCATTCATATGAATTGGATCGTAATTCGTGTCTCATCCAGATCCGACTCTGTTGTCCTTTTTTTAGCTTATCCGATTTTATTGTGGTCGATATATGTAGCATGCCGCACAAGAAAATAGTAGCTGACCAGCTACGTTGCGCGACACGTGTCCTCATCCGAACACGTGGTAGAGTCAGAGAGCTCTACCAAAACATCATAAAAGCCATTCAAACCACGAGAAAACCAGTGAAATATTGGAAGACAAATAGCCTAGAAATCGAGATCTCTGAGATGGCGAGCAACCAAGAGCAGCAGAGCAGAAAGCCAGCTGAGGGCGAAGCAAAAGGGAAGGTGGAGGAAGGGCTGCCGATGAAGGACAGTCCGTACCTGCAGTATGATAACCTGGAGGATTACAAGCGCCAGGCATATGGAACAGAAGGCCACCAAAAGGTGGAGCCAGGGCGAGGTGCTGGCTCCACCGAAGCCCCCACCGTTTCCGGCGCCACTGTCTCCTCTCAGGGTGATATTTCTGCGCTTGAAGCTATTCACCAACAAGGAGTTCCTTAATTTAACTTAGTTTCCTTGCTTGTTTGTTTTTTTTTTTTTTTTTAGCTTTTTGTTATGAAAAAATCTCATTGGTAATACAATGCATGTGTTTGTGTGAAGATTCAATAGAAATGCGAGCTTGCGTTTGGTATGGATTGCATTTTGTTTTGGGATCATGTAGTTGATTCAAGCTGTGTGTTGCAGGGATGATGGATGATGTTGATTATTCGATGACCGTAGGCGTAGGGACGACTCCGGCATTTTTCTTAAAATGAAGACATTAACAATCATATTCTGGTCGCTCAACTTCTTCGTGTATTGTAATTACACACACACACATATATATATATATGTGTGTGCGCGTGTGTGTGTTTATCAAATACATTCCTTTAATCATTTTCTTACAATTGATCTTGGAGAAGGCAAGATTAAGGGACATTACTTTGGAATTGAATCAAATCACGATGGCAAACTAGGTATATCTGATAGATTTTGAATATTCTTCAATCTTGTGAGGGAGGGATCAAGAAGTGGTAAACTTAAAAACCAATGTATTTTGGGACTGCTTCTGTAATACTCTTAGTTTCCACTCGCTGGTGGTAATTGTCATACATTTATAAGGAATGTTATATTTTGTAAATGTAGGACCTAACTACATCATGAATGAGGCTTTTCTTTTTACAAGGGATAGCATTTCATTAACGAACAAGTACAATTATAAGTGTTGTCACAATGGTTGCATTTTTTCAGTGATTTGGAGATAATTTTCACACAAAAACAGTAATCTAATGACTAGCGCAAGCAGCATCGGCACTAGCACAACTTCCTCATCTATTCTCTTAAATGTTAAATAGTTTTCACAGGTTGCCAACTCGAACTTTCTCGGTTTGAAACAAGTTGATATTTGTGCTGGGCCAAAGAGAGATTTAACTATGCCACCTCCGCTAGCAGTCGCAGATTTAGAAATTTACCGTAATGGGGTCACGAACAAAAAGCTTCTGAAAACTAAATATATATACTTTCATTTGTAATTGGCGACGATATGTTCTCATATTTTAGAAACGTCGTATCACAATCAACATAATCAAATATATTTTTCATCGTATATAATTATGTTATTATTTAACCATTGATTTTCATTCATTTTTTATTGTATACAACCAAGCTATCATTCAACCATTTTTTCATATGATGTGGATTCTTTACAATATTGATCACTAGAAAAGTTGTCTCTATTTTGAAAACGTTGTAGCTTTGGTATGTTTTAATTATAAAAAAACGAATAAATGGTCTCTCTATTGTGCTTGCCTTAGCTATTATAAGAGTCATTTAAGTATTTAAAGGGGAGATATTTGAAGTTGTTGGGGTCAGTAGCAGCCAATACCCACATTGGCTCCGCCACTGTCGGCTGGTTAGCTGTATCCCTTTAATGAACCTAGGTGAAAATACACCTTGGTTCGTCCTAACCCACGTTAAAATCCTCGACGAATTTTCTTCATTGGACTTATTCTCAACTGCAAAACTTCTTTGGCCAAGACTTCATCTTTAATTAGATAGACATATCCCTTTAAACTATATCTTATTATTCACAAAATTATTATATTTCGCCGAGCAGACCTCTCTTCACACATGAGACTCTCGGCAAAACTCATAACCCAAAAAAATCGCTTCTAGAATCGGATTTACAGAAGTCCAACGTAATAAGCCCTAGTTTGGTACTGAGGTGATTCTAAAAAAAGTAGCTATCAAAAAAAGTTGTAAACATTCAGCTTCAGCTTTTTTACATAGTTTTAGGTTGGAGTGGGTTCGGTTCAAAACGGTTCGGTTTTTTGCCAAAACCGAAACCAAACCGAAATTTCGGTTCGGTTCGGTTCGGTTCATTTTTTTTCGGTTCGGTTTTTTTCGGTTTCGGTTTTTTTCGGTTCGGTTTTGGTTTTTTTCGATTTTTTATTTTTATTTTTAAATGATGTAAATGGAAGGAACCTACCTATCAACCTCCAAGTTCTCATATATCAAAGAATTGAGAGCCTCAAAATCCTGAATATATTCAAGTAATTCAACTACTTGTGATCAAGCAGAACGAATTCAAATTTTCAAAAGTTAAGCAAATACATAAACATATATTCCTCAAGGAAATGTACATCGTCAGGATTCAAAATTCAAAAACTTTAAAATTTACAAAATCATGAAATAACTCAACAAATTAACTGATCGATGCAAATCGAAAAAAAAAAAAGCAATTGGGTTCTTCTAAATACCATAATCGGACTTCAATAGCGTATGCCCAGTGCCCACATTCAAATTCATAGTCAAGTCCACAATAGATCTAGAAAATTCCAAAACATATTTAGAGAAAAATACAAACTTTTTCACCTTAAATTACATAAATTTCAAATGGGTAACCATACAATTAAAAACCTATGAACTGACAAATAAATAAAACCACAACCTTTGTTGCAGCGATATAGCCATGATCGTTGCAAGCTCTTTCAATTCCTCTTTTTGTCAGATCTCGAAAAGGGCGAGGGAAAATCATGGTTTGGAAGAAGGAATCCGCGAGGAGGACAGGAGAAAACTGGAGAGAGAGTGATTTGGAGGAACAGAGGAAGGAGAGGGAGAGGGAGGGAGAGAGAGAGAGAAAGAGAGGAAGCAAAGGCAAAGAGGAAGCAGCGGACGGAACAAAGAGGTGTTTGAGATCTGAAATGAAATAGGAGTGAGACAGCTAGGGTTTGTAAAGTTAAGAAATTTTATAAAGCATTAAACATAAGAAACCTATAAATAAATTACTGGTACAATTATAACAACACAAAGCCTACAGTCAAGTTGGCTTGCAACAACCAACCCCAACCTGTAAGGAAAGGGTTCAAACCTCGACGACAACATGTATTTTTTAGTATTTATATATGATTTTTTTTTCGGTTCGGTTCAATTCGGTTCGGTTTCCAAACCTCAAAAACCGAAACCGAACCAACCAAATTCGGTTCGGTTCGGTTTGGTAGTTTCGGTTCGGTTTGGTTTTCGGTTTTTTGAAGTGAAAAAAAGTCAAAAACACAAAGCTGCAAAACCTAGCTTTTTTTCACATCTGTTTTACATAAAAGTTTATCAAACACTATAATACTGTTTTTTTTTTTTTTCAAAAGCACTATTACAAAAAAGTTTACCAAACACTCTGCTTTATTTCATAGCTGCTTATTCTCATAGTACAGCAGAAACAATTTTTTTTTTCAAAGCATAGCAATACCAAACCAAGTTGGCCCGCTAATGCTTCTTACTTTACAACCACTGAAATCTGGCCTAAACCTTAATAATCTTAATAAAATTACTGCCACCCCATCACATGATGTAATGAATTCATTCATAATTATTTTATCTATTTTATAAGACTATCCTCTATATGATCAGCCATATAAACAAAAGAAACACCTTCAATCACCCGAAAAAAAAAAAAGAAAGAAAAAAAGAAAAAGAAAGGAGGAATCTCAACTCCCATGAATGAACATAAACGATCGTACTACACCACTTGGAGCTTGGGATGCAATGGAAGGCAATCCACTTTGATTTCATAATTTCGATAGAGACAAACTCGGTCTCAGCTAATGGCCGGCCCCAGAGGCCACAAATTCCACACTTCCTTTCGTCACTCCCAAACAAGAAGAGGAGACACCACTATGCCACTGGGTCGCCTGCCCTGCCCCCCTTCTCCCATTCCTCCTTTATTGCTTTTTCGGCACTCCACTTGCTTTTTATCATATATATTTTGGCACACATCGTTTTCACTTCTCCAGTAGTCCAGATATTCTTATGAATAAGACTTGCATCTTTAATGAGAGAATACACATGAACGGTTCATGATAAATATATTACTTGATAGTTGATACTTATTATCTTCTTCTTTATCGGGTGACGTCACATGACAAACATCTATTAGATAATTGAGGTGACTTTTAAACATGCAACAAGCATTATTGGAATTATGCAATAATATCAATGGAGAATATCTCCTTGTGTAGAGTGATTTGAAATCACTTTTCTTTTGTATACATAAATAGTGCAAATGAGATTGTACTGAATCATACAATGAATTATCCATAATTCGTATTGAACTTGTCATTAAGAAAGCTAAACTTTTTTTTTTTTTTTCAAACAAAGAAAGCCAAACTTAAAACCTCATACTTAATAAAAAAAAATATTAAAAGATAAAGCGAGTGGAAAAATCACTCCCTATATTTTTTATATTTTAAATTTGGGATGTTCTTCTGTTTATATTCCACATGTCTCACTTCCTCACACCCTCTAAAGCCTCTGACCCAACTCTATTTATAATCCTCTCATTTTCTCAACATCCTTGCAACCCTCAGTTCAGAAACACAATGGCAGCAGTTCCAAACATTGCTGCTGATGATGAACAAGAAAGAGTACTTCTTGACGAAGATTTTGCCTCCGACGCTGACGAATTGGAGGAAGAACAAGAAGAAGATGAAGAGGAAGAAGTGTCACTCTGTGATCTTCCAGTGAATTTGATCAAACAGGATCAAACACAATTTTCCAATCTCAATCTCAAATCTGAGTCTTCCCATGTCGCCATTGAAAAGCAAGATCAAGAATTTGATTTCTGTTCGTCGAAGCGTGGCGGGTTGAATAATTTGTTGGCAGACACAAAAATGTGTGCTGCAGATGAAGTGTTCTTCCAAGGCCAAATTCTACCTCTCCGCCTCTCCATCAGCTCAGATACCCACTCCAACAGACCAACCAGTCAGTGTCCGTTGAGCGGTGTCGGGCTCAGAAGCAGCAGTTGCAGAAGCAGAAGTAGTCACAACTCATCATTCAGCAGCAGCACCAGCTCCACCACCACCACCACCACAACAGGCATTGCTTCAAAGCCAAGAGCAACAAGACCAAGAAACCAATTCTACACAGAACCAAGTCCAAAACTGCAAATCAAAATTCCGAATTCTCGATTAGAAAAGGCGGGCAGCCGGCATCATAAGTCCTCGATGTGGGATTTTTTCCGGTTGGGATTGGTGCGCACTCCCGACATGGAATTGCAGGATTTTAACAAGGTACTTCGTAGCAATTGTAGTACCAGTACTCGAGCGAATAACAACGCGAGAAATTCCGTCAGTCGAAATAGCAGCGTTAGTAGCACCAACAGTACAAGTTTCATATCCAGTTACAACAATGCTGCTAGTGCTATTAGTGGTTTGAAGCCGGAGAATTTGAAACAGAAGAAGCAGAGCTTTTTTAGCAGTGTTCATGGCTGCAAGTGCTCGATCGAAACGGTGGCGTCTGATAACGCGATTTTCAAGAGCCGATCGAGCAGCGGTAGGAGTACTAGTGCAAGTCACATCAATGAAGATGGTGGTGTAAGAGCGGCAGCAGCTGCTTCGATGCATGCCGCGTCGGAAGAAAAAGTAGCGATAGAGTTGAAGATGATGACGAGGAAGAATAACAAGAAGCAGCAGCAAAGTTGTAAGCAAAAGGAAAAGCAGGCCCTTTCACATCACAGAACGTATGAATGGCTAAAGCAGCAGTCGCATGCAAACTCTCCTTTTCCTGTGCATGTTTAAAGTTTATGGCGGTGGTGATGGTGGTCGACGACCGGTGGTGGGGATAGGAAGTTAAAAAGGAAAATGATTTTTGTACGTCTCTTTTATTTTTCTGCACACTCGTTTATTTTTGTCCATCGGTTCCACCAACACTAAGTTATTTTCTGATTGACAAATTAAAATTTCAATTATATTTTAGGAAAAAAATGGGATTTTAATATAATTGAAATTTAGTTTTTGAGTGCAAGTTGAGTATACGTGGTATAAGGAGAAATGAGAAAATTGTTAGCATTCTTCATGCTGAATAAACATAGTTGTGTCAAGAGAGAAAGATAGGCATGTGGATGAAATGAGAAAACTGCTAACATTCCTCATGTAGGTAAACGCAGTTGTGTCGAGAGAGAAAGAATGGTGTGCAAAAGTCTTTTTTTTTCTAGTGTAAAAAAGGCTTTCCTCTAGAAAGCTATACGTGGATCCAATGTTTAGAAGGTTTTAGCGTTCTTGATGAAAGCTTGAAATATGGAAAAACAATTATATGCTCTCTAGCATGCCTGCAATTTGCTTTATTTAACTATCATTTGTTTATCCTTTTTTTTTTTTGGTTCGCTTTAATTTGAAATAATATTTACATTAGTTTTGCTATTTGTTGTTAAACTTTTAGGCTCTTTGGGTTTAATTTTTATAATTAGCTTTGAATTTGAGGTTTAAATAAATAAATTCAATGATTAAGCATGGGTGGGTGTGATTGTGGTAGTCATGATTAAAGTGTGAGTAAGTTGAAGCTTTTTGGGTGGATGCTATATTCGTGACTGTTATAAGGGCACACGAGAAAGAGAGAGAAGGGGAGAGGTGGTGAAAAGCTAATGGAAGAGGGAACTCAAGAAGTTCTTTCAAAGTTCAAAAAGAATGGGAAAAAGATGTTTGGAAAAAGGCAAAAAAAAAAAAAAAAAAAAATCTAAGAGAGCTGTTGAGAAAACTAAACAAGGAAAAGAAAAAAGTGGTAGGGTTTTTATCTTTTGGCAACAACGCATAAACTCGAAAGAAAATGATGGATTACATAAAATATCACATGGTAACGAGACTCCAACTATATCTACAATTGGCAATCAACGACAAGAAATGGGGAGCTTGCTAAAAATCTAATAGGTTTTGACACAAGAAGTATGGACATTCTACAGATGGATGAAAAACAACCAAATTGGACCGGATTTATGATTTGGTTTGGTTTTCCACAAAGTATAACTTTTATATTGAACCAAACCAAACCAAATGAGTATGAATCGATATGACTATGAATTCATTTATATTAACCTTCAGTTTGAACCAAGCTGAACCGAACTACTCCCTTCGTCCTTGATATTAAACCATCCATCTCCCCAAAACCAAACCCAGTGGCTCAAATATAATTCACATCTCCCTTACTCATTCACATTTTACCTCTCCCCCCCCCTCTCAGTTGCTTAGCCATCAATGACAACATACAACATTAGAAGCCGCAATTGAGTTAGATCTACTCAATTTGTGAGCCAAATTTGACATAATTGAGCTTTTAAATCTCAACGAAACCCAATTGAACCTGAGCTCAACAGTGTAATTTGGTTCGATTCACAATTATTTTTCACCGAAACCAGCCCGATTTGAACAAACAATGAAGATGGGTTTTTAATCAAATTGAGCTTTAGTTGGGCACATTGCCAGCCATTGGAGATGGCTTTAAAACCCGACTTCATAGTAGACCCAAAATGTCGTCAAACTAGGAGTCTGCATGTTCCAATTTGTTTCCCTTCAAAAATGATAACCAAACCAATTAAAATTTAAGGCCACCTCTAACCGAAAGAGGGCCAGAGGGCGACTTCATAGTAGACCCAAAATGCCGTCAAACTAGGAGTCTACATGTTCCAATTTGTTTCCCTTCAAAAATGATAACCAAACCAATTAAAAAATAAGGCCATCTCCAACCGGAAGAGGGCCAGAGGGCCTCCAAGAAATTAATATTTTAATGAACAATGTAGAGCCATATTTCTTACCATCTCCAACCGATGAGCTAGAGGACCATAGGCCAAACGCCCTATGACAAAAAATCATCTCCAACCGAGGGCCAAGCATAATTTATTATTTAAATTTAAAAACTACAACAACTTAAATTTAAAGCCTATAATCATCATCATCTTCATCATCCGTCATTATAGGAGTATAGTTGAAGGTAAACAACTGCCATCGGGCCATAATTTTCTTCTTTTTCCTACCAAAATAGGCCTTACTCATTGGAGTGTAATTCAAAGTGTTCCTTTGCATCTTTCTATCGTTCATCTCTTCTTGTATTTGTTTGGCCCGTTCTTCATGCCTACGGTTCCTTTCTTCCACAGCAATGGTATTTTGCTCTACCATGAATTGCAAAGAGGCAGCCACTTCCTGTTGAAAGGAAATATCATCATTTGCCTTGCCATTTTCCTTCAATTTTCGAGCTTTGTTTCGTCCCATAGCCCTAGGTATGGAACCTTCACCTAAAGACATATTTTCTACCCTTGTTTCTTGAATGGTAGGAGATCCATCTTCATCCCCATCTACAATTGAGGATGCAGTTCCGAACACTGGCGTAAAACCTACTCTGTGTTGAGGTGGATCTTCAAATAACACCTACCCTTTGCAAATTTCCCAACAACCGTGATGTTGAAAAGGTTTCGAGCTGCCCTCCATATACAATTCCTTCGCTTGGCATACCTAGAAAATATAATTACAAAAATTAAAGGAAATTAATTTACAAAATTAAATGTAATATAATTAAATATTTAAAATAAATTGTGAAAACACTTACTTCGTCGTAGTAATTGACACCACTTTCATGTCTACTCGCAGTTATTAATAGTGTTTGATGTCATTTATTCAAACTTGGATGAAGATGTTTCTTCCATCTTGAAGTTTCGGGTATTCAGTGAAGTGGTGCTTTCGTAGAACTCATAGTATTTTTTGGACACACGAGTCCAAACACCTTCACTTGTTTGAGAAGTCCCCCTCACACTATCTTCCGAAACCCATCTATAAGCCCTGCAAAGAGCTTCATCTTCTTTTCGGGTCTAAGCCCTACCTTTCATTGCAGATGTGGCCATTTGAAAATTATTGAAAAAATTGAAGGAAAGATTATTGGAAGAGGTAAGAAAATAGAATGTGAAGAATTGAAATAGAAAGAAGTGAGATAGTATGAAATTGTGAAATTATATAGGAATGGCTTACGTATTTATAGGAAAAAAAGGGGAAATTTTTTAATTTGGTTGAAAAAAAAAAATTTCAAAACCAACGGTAATTGATGTCAGCTACCATTGGATTCAAATTTTTACCCAGCCCTGGGCCGGCTGGCTGGCTGCGTTAGGCCAGCCGGTTGGCCCTTTTCTTTTTCTTTTTTTTTTTGGCCTGGTGGGGCCCACGAGCCATTTGGCATGGCCCTCGGTTGGAGACGGTTTTCGTGTCATTTCGGTCTATTTTCGGCTATCTGACCCTCTGGCCGGATCGGTTGGAGATGGCCTAACATATTTTCTTTGATTCGAGTTTAACAAAAATTCTTAAAGAAACTGAACCAAATCAAACTAATGTTAAACCTTTTGGTACTGATGGTTTCAGCCTTAATTTTATTTGTTATTCTTTCATTTTTCTTCAACCTTATAGTCCAATTACGAAAATTCAATAATTTGCAACATACTTTTCTTATGATACATCAAATCATCCTAAAATCCAACATAACATCAAACTTCCAAGTTTAGTGATCAATATATATAGTTACAACTCAAAGAGCTTTAATTTTCCATCAACCTTGAAAATCAACTTTCTTTCTGCTTACCTAATTATTAGCCAATAAAAAGATTTAAATTTGTAAAATAAAATCATCTAAATATCAATGTGTAAATTGTTAGTTCCGTTTGATTTAGGTCGGGTGACAAAATCTCAAACATGTAATCAAATCAAACCAAACCAAATTAAAAGCTAGATAGTAAAATTTATCATTTACAATTTTTTTTTCTTTATAAATGTGGAAGTGGGGTTTCATTTGCATCTTAAGAAATTAACTTGTAAGTTTCTTCTTGGAAACTTATCAAGAAAGTGCTAAATCTCTTGTTTTACATTGTTTTTTAGTAGCCTTGCTTTCTACGTTCTATTTTTTATTTTTGGCTGATATGATGTATACCACTTGTTGCTTGTAGCCTCATATTTTTTTTTTTTATTTTTTGTTTTGTTTTGTTTTGAATAAACAATATTATCTACACTAAGAGGATGTGGGTGTGGGTGTGGGTGTGGGCTAAGCCTCATAATAGGATAGCAATAATGTGGTTCAAATTCACATTTGGTAAGAACCAAACCTAAAACATCTCACTAACAAGTGAAAAGAAATACAACTAGACCGTAGTATTAAGTGCTGCATATCTTAGTGGTGTGAGTTTCAATGGATCCTTGTTATATAAATGCTAAACTATGTGTTTTATATTTTTCTTTTCAGTTGGTTATTAACCCAGAAATTTCTTCTGAAATATTTCATTAGAAAAAGAAAATGAATTGGGGACGGGAGAAAGCACATTTCCAAAAACATTCAAAGAGTGCGGAATTTTCTAAAGCATATTGTCTGTTCAAAGTATTTAATTGACCTAGTTGTAATGGAATGGCCAACTTTTAACTCGACAGGAAACTTCGACGTTGATATCGACTTTTTTGGTCTCCTCACATCTCTACTAAATTTACAGGAAATACATATTTGGTTGTTTCCTAGTAACATTCCAAGAGCTGAGGAGAATAGCGTTCATGCATGCATGCAGTCGAGTTTTAGAAAATTGATACTTTGGATACGGTGTCTGGTCCCTAGTCCCTAACACTTTTTGACTAAAATCTTTATGGTATTGAAAGTTTGATCAAAGTTCATTGACTTTGTACACCTCATTATATTACTATTAATATTGATATTTTTATAGTTTTGACATTAATTGTTTGATATTTTATGAGATTTATAATCCGATAAATTTAAAATTCCTCATTATAATACTATTAGAAACAACTACAATAAAAAAATTCAAATATTTTGATTGAATAAATGGATAAAAACTATGTAACAATGGGAAATAATAAATGGCAAAAGAATGTATCCATAGTGTTAAAAGATTAAAAAATTATGAGTGTAAATGAAATTTTAAAAAAT